ACCAATTATTATTAGATCCAATTTGCTTAGGTGTGTGACCCTGTAGGATCATATAATATTAGTAATGAATTCTTAATTCATAGATTATAAGCGGTTTCTAGCAAAACATTATAACCACCTAATATTATATGATTGTCGAACCTCGACGTTACGACTTTAACTAGAGTAAATACAAATGATTTTAGGACATTCCCAACAACCCCCTCCCCCTCCACCACCACCTCCTCTTCCACGACCTGACCCGGAACTTCTGCCAGAACCAGACCCTGCACGTGACCCCGCGTATGATCCAGCTTCGGATCCCGCATCACCTCCACCACCACCAGAACTCGAAGAACTGCTGGAGCTAGATGAGGAAGAAGAGCTTGACCCTCCTCCTCCTCCGGATCCTGACCCGGCACCAGCTCCTGATCCGGATCCACCTCCACCAAGACCTATGCCGATGCCAGTACCGATCCCTACCCCTATCCCGCCAAGGTCCAAACCCAAGTCTTTTCTTGCAATCCGGCTCTCGGAGACTAGGCACGACGTGGCCAATATCAAGGTGATCAGAACCAGTGATGATGAGTTACTCAAAGACATAGTTTGTTTTGTATTTGGAATGCTTTTTTTCTTATTTTCTTTTCTATCTAAAGTATATTGGTAGTGCTCTTGATGAATATGATACAAGATGTTAAAGGTATTTATAGGCGTTCCAGAGCTTATCAATATGGTAGTGAGAAATCTTACAAGTCAAAAATGTGTACACACCAAAAATGATAAATAAGTAGATAATTAAATTGGTTATGAATTTGTAACTGATAATGACTAAAACATGATCATAATAACCTTGATCAGAACGTTATCGCCAAAGCAACCAGTATTGTACTTGATAATTAATAAGCACAACAAAAAAAGCAAATTTTTTAAAAAAAAATTGTAAAAAACTGGAGGCACGACCGACCTACGAGGTCTCCACTTACAGAGAGATTGATAGTGGAGCATGCACTGAAGGGTGTTGGTTGCAACGTTGTACATTTTAACACCCACATATTTATTTTCGTGCAAAACAATCATTACACGTTTATCATCTTTTTTTTTCCTTCTCAGCCTCCATCTTGATCTTTATGTATTAAATTATGTAGAATTATCGTCAAACCGAAACCATATATTAGTCTGGTTTAGTGTAGAAATTGGTTCAACGGAGATGAACAGTCCAGTTTCTGTTCACAGACTCATGCGTTCTGGCAAATATGTTAGAGAACAGCAAGAAGGAAGCAACAGTCCATCAAATATTCTGGCGCTATGGAACGGACTAGTGCATGGACTTAACACCCAAATAAATTTGGGCTGGACAATGCTAAAAACAAGAAAATGAGGCCGTCAGATTAGTGGATGATATTTTCTCCTTGACTATGTTGAAGACTTCCTATTTTTCTCAGCATAAACTTGTATCAGTGTGATCACCAATACAAATATTGGTACATCGTTACCACGGATAGACATGGTTGGCTTATCATTAACCATGGTCGTAACCAATTTGGTAAACAAGAATCTACTAACAGTGCATATTCCTAAAAGTAATGGGTTTTTTTTTGCTTAGCAATATGTAACCATATTGGTGGTGGAAATTCTTTCAAAAAAAAAAAAAACATAATGGTGGAAAACGGTAAAACAACTGTCTATCGCTGGGATTGTTTTTACATCATTTCATATAAGGCAGAGTTTTAAGAAACTTAAAGCAATGTCTGGACTTTGGACAACCTCGAACTGATATGGATTGTAAGCTTCTTAATCCATTTAGGATTCAAAGAGTGCAAAACAACCACCATTGCATCGCTCTGCATATCACAACACAATTATATAATAAGATTAAAAGAAAGTTCTTTTTAAAACATTTAGTTACAGAAAATCATCGAAAACACGAACCTTTGTAGTCACGTCTCGGTCTCGCAAATTGGAAGCAGAGAATGTTAGCTGCGAAGGAAGAGGACAGAACATGAAGTGATGAACTCAATCAAATCTTGAGGGAAAATATTTGGAGATTTACGGACCTCGATCTGAGAGAAGAGACCGTTGAAACCGCGAGACTTAATTGGTTGATTTTAGACGTGACATGCTTCCCCTTTGAGTATATTGTCATTTTATTAGTGTTAGATTGAGATAAGCTAAAGTTGAAGATTTTTTCTAGTTAGAAAGTTCCAAGCTTTTTTCACAAAATCAAACCAAAGAAACTCAAGTCAGCTCAACGATGCGGACTCATAGGATGCAGGTTTCAAGTCAACGTACCTAATTACAAAGATTTCATAACGAATAAAAGGATTTGGAAAATGAAAAATGAAACTAGAAGCTAGAAGCTAGAAGTTAGTTAGCTCCACTCTCAACTCGTCTTCTGGCGGTTCCCCACCAAAATTTCATAATCAGTCAAATCTATACAATTAGATTTATATAATTTATTTAAATCATTTAACTCTCACTTTCCAAAATGAATGAAGGATTTCTCAGTCCATGAGGTAACGCACAAACGTTGATACACACACAAACTTCCACTACACACATGAGTATAAGTCTTTTATTTGAGAAAAATACAACCAAGAAAGAAAAAAAGAAGAAAATAGAGAGAAACCTTCGAGATATCTTCGCCGGAGACACCATACTTGCTCTCAAATTTTTTCTTTATCTGCACAAACAATGCTCAAATAGATTTGACTCAAAAGTCTTATCTTCGTTTGTTTACAACAATTTTCATGTTAAAAGAAGAGATAAGTAAGTATTACCGTATTCTAGCTTTTGCAAGTTCACAATGGTAGCCGAAGATCGCAATCTCTGTGCCACCAGTGGTCACTTCACCTTCAAAACATTCTTCAACACGGACCCAAGACATATCCTCCAACTATTCCAAATATGTAACGCTTTCTGAATCTTCGATTTAAACACAAGAATCAAACGAAGCTCCATACCCTCCTTCAAAAGCTTAACCTGATGATAAGATTAAAAAATCTCATGAGAACAAGTAAAACATAAAATAATTGTATGTTTTAATAGATTTGCCTTGGATATAACAAGAGATTTCACAACATCCACGTCTTTTTCAACTGACAGGAAGTTCGTCGTGATAGAGCCACCAGGGAAGCGTCATGATGGAAGATAACTCTGGTTGTTTTCTGTAAAGAAAAAAACAGACCATACGACATGTTAATAATATCTAACTACTAAATCAAAGTCACTTATTAAGTCAAAGAAAAATAATCAAATTCACTTACTAAATCTTTCCTTGACACATGTGATCCACTCCACCTACCAGTCCCTCCAACGATGGTAGCAATAGACTTCTTCACCATATTCCTACAACGATCCATGATGTCTTGTTTGGTCATGTTTGCAAGTTCGAGGCTGAAATCTCTCATGATCAAAGTCCATTCAGGGCCATGTATTTTATACCCTTCCTCAATAGCTTTGTTCTCTGCTGCAGTGAATCGATTGTAGCTTCTAACTGTCCTTTGTACCGGTTCAACTTCATCCAAGGGAGGAAGCAAATCCCTTGGAGTAGACTCAACCAGGGTTTCTGGACAACAATCAATGAAAAATGTTTTTCAAGTCCAAGATTTTTTCATTTATGAGTCTGCATCCTAGCCCACCAATACCACTCACTTCAAAATGTTTTTCAAGGTTATTGGTGTTACCATTCACCAAGCCAAAATAGTAAGGACCATGTGATACGATTAAGAGTAAGAGATGACCTCTGAGAATTCTTAATCTCTTAATTTTACCAGAGATCTTTTCACGGACTTTTTTCTCGTCATGAATTATTTTGGATGAGACTTATAAGTCTTCCAGATTTCCATAACAACTAATAATACACAAGTAATTTATCAGTAATCTCGGGTTTATACACCTGTTGGCCAATGTTTGAAATAAACAATGTTTCATAAGATCACTAATGATATACTATAGTTAAACTACTATAATTTCATCGTCCTTATTATATAGGAGGTGAAGCGAATTAGGTGAACGGAAAATGCGACACAAGTCAACTTTCTGAAATCAGAAGAGAAGGAATCTAAACACTTTCGTGTGGTCTTTATCAGTTCATCATCCTGAATTCCTGATGTATGAACACGTGGCTCTTTGTTATTTTAGTACATTAATTTTCCTAGATCGTTACCAATTTTGAGTTTTTCACTAAAGGAACCTCTTTTTGTTCTGAAAGACACGCAGTGTTCAACTATATGTGCAAAGTACATAAACAAATCTGAGATTTTGCCAAGTGTGATGTCTTGAGAATTTTCACCACAACTTCCACTTTCTCAAGATTCCACGTTGGCATGCAGATTGGGCCCCAGGTTTAATTCGTCAATCTTTAGCCACACAAAAGTATCATCTTTTTTTCCTTTCATAAATACATTTCTCTTCTATTTCATTTTATCTTTGTAAATAACTAAAAATAACAGACTACATAAAATATAAAGACCTGTAATGAATTGTGTGTTTCTCACTAGTCGTCGTCATCGTTATCAACAAATTAACCATCTGTCCATTTCAAATGGCTAAATTATTGTTTGGGAATCAATAGCCAGGAATTCACAGCTCAGTTGCAAGTTTGTAACCCCCCAAAGAAAATAATTTATTTTTATATTTCTTTGGTACTTGAAGGTCTTTCATAAAAGGTAAAAGAGACCATCTTGACCGCCCCTTAGAAATTAATTTATCTTCAACATAAACTCTTTTTAAATATATGATTCTTCAACCAGTTGACTTCACTACTTCAATCATGCAACCACATTTTTACAGAATTAAATGCACATAAGCATCTTTTTTTTTTCCATCATTATTATTGAATTGAATCTATTCATTTTTTTGGGGAATAATAGTTAGGATACATATTAGCTATGACTAAAACTTAACCTAATTTTATAACTGATTCAATCACGTTGAAACATGTATACAATAAATTATCTCCACAATAGTTAAGACAACTTTTGAATCTTCCTACATTAATCACAACACTTTGATTCAGTAGATATATATGACATCGTTTGTTAATTACACAGATATAAACGATAATTACATCAACCCGTAAATACCAAATTTCTAATTGTCACGGAAAACTATGGATTATACAAATAATTTAGAGATGTTGGTACTTGGTAGGTTGTGGCTTGTGATGAAACTTCCCCACGTAAATTCTCTTCTCACCACAATCGCTACCTACTAACTGCTAACTACTTTACGCCCAGCGCCCTTTCGCTGTTTTATGCTTTTATTAATGCTCTTATATCTATTACTATATTTTAATCGTATACAATCTTTAAATTCGACTATATTATAGTTTATTTTTAGAAGCCACCTTTGTGTGAGTTTTGTTTATGCAATTACCAACCTACAAGTTTGTTCCATTCTGGCATTCTGAAACCTAACTCTTTCTAATTTCATCTTTCAACGGTTATCCATATTAAAATTGTTCTTATAAATACTGATATATGTAGTTAGATTAGGAGAGTTTCCGCAGTCTTATTTAAAGTAGTTTGAACTAATTTATATGACTAATTATCATCACCCAAAATTTTAATAAATATACAACTGAAATTTGTTAAATTTTTGTTTTTGATTTTTACGTTTAGAATACAAAAACTTTCAAATATATTTGGCAAATGTTAAACGTGTATAATATAGATAGATTTTAAAGTTGATGGTTTTCTTAAATAATACTTCATCTGTTTATCTTTAGTTGTCATTCTAGGTTTTTGCACACAGATTAATGAAATATTTAATTTTACATATTTCCATGATAAAAACATTATTACCTACACACCTAACCACTTTTCAACCAATAGAAAAATATAATACTATATAAAACTAATAAATTTTACCTCGAAACTCTAAAACGACACTTAATTTGTGACAAAAAATAAACCTAAAATGACATGTATTCTGAAACAGTGGGAGTACATAGCAATTTAAACGAAAAGATCCATACTTAAATACAAAGACACATTTTTACCTTTTAATGAATTACTTAATGGTAAATTGTACAGTAAATTACAAAAATAATGCATTACTAATCTGAATTTAATATGTTTTCTAATAAGTGTGAAAGTTTTATAACTTACGTCTTTTAAAAACAAAGGCAGTATATGGTGACAACTATTTTCAGTTAATTTCATTTTCATCATATTTACTTGTAATATTTGTCACATATTAATTTAGTTTTAAAAAGATGTAAGTCTAACTTAAAATGAAAATTAGTTTCATTTTCACCATCTTTTAAAAACATTAACTTAGTTTACAACTACGTTAATGTTTTCTAGTTAGACTTGACTCCATCAGGAGTACATTAAACAAGTCTTGTATCTGGAGAAAAATAATCATCTTTAATTGCATTTCGTTATGTAAATATACTGTATTTGTAATAAGTATGCAGCAAGAAATGATTACCGGATGTGATATTAGCTGTAACCAAAATGTTGGAGTGTTTCTGAAAGAAGACACACGTTCCCAAGATGATCAACGCGTACACCAAAACCAATAGGGGCTTGAGACTTGTAGATATTGGATAACCAAAATATTAATTAAGATAGCTGCAAGGTTAAAAGAACATTAATAATCAAATATTTTAATATAAGCGTAAAATAAAAGAAGAGACAATTAATAAAAGATGAGTAGCTGGGAACGTGCAACAGAAACTAGTTCACCCAACTTTCTCCTATTAATATGCTTCTCTCTTCTCTTCCTACTTCTAACCTTCTCTTCTTCCACACACATAAATACACACACGCTTTTGATAATATAGAACAAGAACAAGAACAAGAAAACAATGGATCAAGAAAAGTCTCTCTCTTGCTGCTGCGTTCTTGATGCTTCCACTTATGTGGGTTTCTGGATTCTCAAGAAGTTGCTTAGCAGAGGATACTCTGTCCACGCAGCCATTCGTAAAAACGGTATATTTCTCTTCTTGGCACTATCAAAAAATAATATTTTGTTGGTTGTTTATTTGATTGTTTTGTGTTTGGTAATTAGGAGATAGTGAAATTGAGGAAACAATCAGAGAGATGGAAGCAAAGGAGGAGAGATTAGTGGTGTACGATGTTGATGTGTTGGATTATCAAAGCATACTTGTCTCTCTCAAGACGTGTAAAGCAGTCTTCTGCTGCTTAGACAGCCCTGAAGGGTATGATGTAAGTGGACTTCATCAAACATCATCTAAAATGCCTTTGTGTAGTTTATGAATTTTATTTGAGATTTGGTGTGAATCATCATTATAGGAGAAGGAGGTGGATTTGGAAGTCAGAGGAGCTATCAATGTGGTGGAGGCATGTGGAAGAACAGAGAGCATAGAAAAGATTGTCTTTTCTTCTTCTTTAACAGCTTCAATCTGGAGAGACAACATTGGAACTCAGAAGGATGTTGATGAGAAGTGTTGGAGTGATCAAGACTTCTGTCGCAACAAGAAGGTTTCTAATCTTTCTTCACTCTCTTTTGTTCATATGATTATTAGGTATTAATTGTTATTTGTTTATGTGAAAATCTTGGTGAATAAATTGGACCCACAATTCAAAGTTTATAGGCCAAATTGGAATAAGCTAAAATATGTTTCCTGACATTTCATTTAATGTAGCTAGCTTACATTATTTCAGTATTTTATTTGTCAGTTCTATATGTTTGAATTTTGAAATACTATGCACATAATTAGTTTATTGGCAGAAAACTTGGATATGTTTTTTTTGTTTTGTGCACAGAAAACTTGGATATGTTAAAGTAATAATTTATATCAATAATTTGGATAGGTATCTTCTTAATAGTCAAAGTTGGGGTTTCATCAAATGTATTGTCACATTATCTCGAATCATTTTATTGGGCAACATAGAATAATTGTAAGGTTGAAGATTAATTGAATATATTCAATTCCATGACCTGTAAATTCAATGTACAAGTCTTGATTCCTGTATAGTTGCCTTTGGATAAATTAAAGTGCACATTTTGTGTTTATTGATTAATTAGATACAGATGATTTAGTAGTCTTCTATGACTATAGATCAACACTATATTAAAGGGTGACATTTGTTATATGTATATGTGCTTGTCTATACTATATATGTGTTATTTTTTATGATCGTCATAAATGAATCTATCTAACTTATGCAACAAATTATTCGGGGACAATATTAACGTGTTATAGCTGTATGACATCGAATCAGACAGTCAACAAAAAAGTTGAAATTAATGGCATTACCTTTTTATGTTGCTTTTTTGTTGTTACTTTTAGGGGTTTAATCTTTTGTGGTTACTATTAGTAGTAACTTCTCTTTTCATACGCACAAGCTTAAACTCAAACTCACGTGCGAATTATCTTTGTATGTTGGATGCAGTTGTGGCACGCATTGGCAAAAATGTTGTCTGAGAAAGCAGCTTGGGCATTAGCCATGGACCGTAGGCTCAACATGGTCTCTATCAATCCTGGTCTTATCGTTGGACCATCGGTTGCACAACATAACCCTAGGCCCACCATGTCCTACCTCAAAGGTACATACTACATAAGCATATATATACACAACCGAAATATATTGAGTTTGTGTTCCAACTTGTAAGAGAAGAAGTGCTCCACAAGGACCACAACTAGTATACATACATTTAATGAATATCAGCCAGTGCCTTTAAAATCAAAACTCCGGGCGTATGCACCACTTTCTTATTGCATTACAACTAGTAGACACATACATTTAAGGAATATATGACAATATTGTTTTAAATGTTCTTTACTAAAAATACCAAAATTCAAGAAATGCCACAAGTTGATTTAGAAAGCATGTAGGAAGGTCACTAAATGAGATACATATATTGTTATGGGTTGAAATTGTGAATTTTTAAGGAAATTTCTCCCTATATTTTTGTTTCAAATTTTTATGTATTGTTTCTCCCTATAATTTTGTTTTGGTTTGGATTTTGATGAAATGGTGTTGGTGGTAACAGGAGCTGCACAAATGTATGAGAATGGAGTGTTGGCATACGTAGACGTAAAATTCTTAGCGGATGTTCATATTAGAGCATTCGAGGATGTTTCAGCTTGTGGTCGATATTTCTGTTTCAACCAAATCGTCAAGACAGAAGAAGAAGCTCTCAAGCTTGTCGAGAGTTTGTCTCCTTTGATACCTATGCCACCTAGGTACATTTTATGTTATAAACATTGCTGTTTTCATGCGAAAGATGTTAATCTAATTGATGCAACTTAGTCTAATACTTTATGTATATAAATAAATGTCATGTAGGTATGAGAATGTAATGCAAGGAAGCGAAGTCTACGAAGAAAGGTTGAGAAACAATAAATTGAGCAAGCTGGTGGAAGCTGGCTCTGCTTGTTAAACAAATATTTAAATTATTTAAATTGAAAAATGAGGAGCTTATACAAAAAAGGGTTATATAGTTTGTAACTTTGTATATTGAGCTTCTCAATTCATACATCACAGTAGCATGTGTTCTCGTGAACTATTTATTCATATAAACAAATCATATTTCATGTGATTATATAGTAGTATAAGAGTGATGGGTAGAGGCTTTTATATTTTCCCGGGAGCACAATGTCAACGCTTTCTACAATTCTTATATTTTACAGCAATGTTTCCTACAATTGTGTAATAATAATAGAATGCTTCACATTAACGATTCTATTTTGTTCTGGTGTTCCACATGCGCAATATTCAAATACAGACTTCTTAAGATTGTTTACCTTATGCAAAAAAAAAAAGTTAATGAAAACCACATCTGAAATGCAGATGACAAAATAGTTCCACGACTTATCATTAAAACTTTGAAACTATTTTCTTATTATAATATACAAGTATACAATCATATCATCGAACCATATGATTATACTATTTACTATAGAACACATCCGCGATTATGTGTCGTAATCATATTTGTTATGAAAGAATATTATTTTAAGAAGGTACAGAATTGAGATTTTTTAGGCATATTCACATAAAGTAAAAGGTGAAATAAATTAGAGACGAGGTTCTTGACTTCTTGGCAGTATTATCAGCGCCGGTCCTAAGTCAAGTCAGATGGAAATATTCATCTTGAATCAAATCAAATGAAATATTCGTCTTCAGTCTCTTTAAACTTTTTTTTAAAAAAAATTACATGTAATAGATTTTAAAAAAAATTTTAGTCCCCCAAATTTAATAAAATTTTTCTTTTAGTTAAAATCGTTAAAATATCACGTTGTGTCCCCAAAATTTCAGGACATGCCTTGAATATTACGTAGGTCGCAAAAACGTTTTATTAGGCGTGACCATAATATAGGAAAGAACAATTACTAAAAATATCAAATGGGCCAAGACTGGGTCCGAGATTGTCCAACGCAGACCCAATAAAAAACCTGTCACCAAGTTAAATCTCAAACGACGCCGTTCTGAGCATTAAACCTTTCGTCTTCCGTGCTTTGCTTCTGATCAAACGACCTGTAATTTTACATCCCTACCTGTAAAGTTTAAACCTTTCTGCCTCTCTCGAAGAACCCTAAATTCAAAAATGGTGTTGATCGAGTCAAATGAGAACGAGGAAGAGACCCTCACCAAATCCGAACAAAACCCATCATCTTCATCATCCTCTCCACAAATGTCTGCGACGGAGACGAAACCACTCGACGACGGAGATGATTCCGACGGATTCGAAACCGCCAGCGAACGAGAAGTTAGCGATGAAGAAGAAGACGATAATAGGAAAATCGACGACGTAACGACGGATCAGTCTGATGAACCTGAGAAGAAGGAAGCTCAGGTTGAGCTAGAAGCCCTTAACGGATCAAATCAGGTGAATTAGGGTTTTTGAGTTGTGGGTTTAGGGTTTAGTGTATAAAGTTTGGAACTTTAGATAAAAATTTAGTAGAGATTTGTTTAAAGTTTGTTTCTTTTTTTTTTTAATAAAGATTGAAACTTTAGATGAAAATTTAGTAGAGATTGATGAAAATTTAGTAGAGATTGTCTAAAGTTTGTTTTTTTTTATTTATAAAGATTGAAACTTTAGATGAAAATTTAGTAGAAATTGTCTAAAGTTTATTATTTATTTTATATATAGATTGAAACTTTATATAAAAATTTAGTAGAGATTGTTTAAAGTTTGTTTCTTTTTTTTTAATATAAAGATTAAAACTTTAGATGAAAATTTAGTAGAGATTGTTTAAAGTTTGTTTCTTTGTTTTTTATAAAGATTGAAACTTTTAGATGAAAATTTAGTAGAGATTGTCTAAAGTTTGTTTTTTTTTTTTTTATAAAGTTTGAAACTTTAGATGAAAATTTAGTAAAGATTATTTAAAGTTTGTTTCTTTTATTTATATGGAAGGAGGAAGCTATGGTGGAAGCTAATGAAGCTAAAGTGGAAGGGAACAGTTTGTTTGTTAATGGGCTTTACGACGAGGCGTTGTCAAAGTATTTGTTAGCTTTAGAGCTTGTTCAGGAGTTTCCTGAATGTATAGAGCTTAGAGCTATATGTTATTTGAATAGAGGAGTGTGTTTCCTCAAACTGGTATGTCCTTTAAGCTTGAGTGATCACACACTTGTTTGGTTATTTCTTGGTTACTCAAGATTCTCTGATGAAATGTTGTTTAGGGTAAGTACGAAGAGACGATCAAGGAATGTACAAAAGCGTTAGAGCTGAATCCTACTTACACTAAGGCCTTGGTTCGTAGGGCAGAAGCACATGAGAAGCTTGAACACTTTGAAGAAGCTGTTGGAGGTGAGTAAGTTCATGACTCATGACTGTCTTTCTTCCTCTTGAGGTGTACAAAGAGGAGTTATGTCTTAGTTTCTAGAACTAAGACAGGATAGTTAGCTTTTGGTTGTTATAGTGGAAGAGTTCACACTGAGTCTTTCTTTTTTTCTTATATGCAGACTTGAAGAAGATTTTAGAACTTGATCCTTCAAATGATCAAGCTAGGAAAGTTGTTAGACGTCTTGAACCTCTTGCTGCAGAGAAGAGAGAAAAGATGAAAGAAGAGGCTATAAGTAAGTTATAAGTAGTATCCCATTATAAAACCTTTCTATCTTTTGCAATCTGCATCAAGTATGGTTCTTTGTAGTTACATATCCCTGAATATGTGTTTGTGTATGTAGCTAAGCTGAAGGAGATGGGAAACTCGATCTTAGGTCGCTTTGGGATGAGTGTGGACAACTTCAAGGCTGTTAAAGATCCAAACACTGGCTCCTACTCTCTTTCCTTCCAAAACTAGTTACTATATCACTTTGGTCTTAATCTTTTGTTTTCTACCACTTGATTTTTTAGCAAGAATCTAGTTTATATTGCAATGTGTTACGTTCTTGATGCATTGGTACTAGAATGATGTGCAATCTTTTTGGGATTTTAGTATAGCTGTAAATTCAAAATTCAATGTTACAACTTACAACAATGGATAAATCCTCACATGATACAGAAAAATACAGAGGAACTACAAGTTCTGTGTGTTACAGATTGTGTGTTGTGGCATGCTGCTCCAAGTACTCTTTACTGTTCATTTCTGTTAATCTGCACATAATAAACAAGTTCACTTGATGAGCAAGAAACTTAAAAAATATTTTTAAGTATATAGACTGATATTTCAGTTACATTATTACCTACTGATGGTTCTATCTTTTGCAAAACCTAACTCATTGTCCACGCAGAGCTCAGAGACATCGTTCTTTCTTGATCTAGACGATGTTCTTGGAGACATTGATTTAGCGTCAGAGATTGTTACAATCTTTTCCAAGAGTTCTTGAGGAGTTGCTTCAGCTGTACACAACAACCTTGCTCTGTTCTCATACATCACCTGCACAACACAGTTTGTTGAAAAGGTTGGTTAATACCATCTTAGAAGAATACAAAATGTAAAGAGACAGAACAGGGAGTTGCATACATCCACTAGCGTGACGAATCTATAAGCAGCAGTCCTGTTATGAAGCCCAAAGACAGGTACTCCTTCCAATGCAAGAGTATGAAACTTCTCTGCAACATCAGGACACAAGAGTTAGCTGATCTGCAGATGAGAGAGAGAGACAAATTAGAGTAACTTACTGAACAATCCGAAGTAATCAGCAGCTCCAAGAGGTCGGTCGCATAACTCTTCAAAAGGGAAGTATGCACATCCCTTAGCACCTAATGGAACCTGTTCATGAAGCAGAGAACTAGTTTAATGATGAACTCACACAGACACCACATAAGTGATGTTTGGTCACTAATTTATACCTGTAACTTTCTTCCCATAACCACTTCTACTTCCTGTGGACGTGCAACAACATTTCCTCCAATATGTTCTTGAAACTTCTGTTTCAAAAGGGTGGAAAGATCTTTACCGATGAAATAGAATCCTTGCTCAGCCTGCACAAGTCAACAACCATGCTGGTTACTAAACTCTACTTTGGTTTGAAGCCAAGTGACCTAGAGATGGAGCTATACCGAAGTTAGTTTACGGTAGTCAACGGCTGAGCCAATCTCATGAACCACATTTCTTTCCTGCAAAGATGCAACTTCTATGAGAGTCTGGAAGAAGGAAAAAAATACTTGAAACTGATTAGTGGAAGTAATGGAGATACCTTTAGTGAGGCAATAAAAGGTAGGAAGAGATCTCTTTGTAGTCCTCCTTCATAGAGTTTATCAGGATTCCTATTTGATGTAGCAACAAGAATCTATAGTTTTTGGCAACCATGGACAAAAGTCAGTTTATATCATATGAGCAGAGATGATTGTAGCAGTAAACAAGGGATCACACTTACAATGCCATTGCTGAAGAGATGTCCAAAGAGTCTGTTAAGTATCAGAGCATCTGCAACATCAGTTACCATGAACTCATCTAGACATAGCAAGATTGCATCATGAGCTATCTCTTGTGCCACAACTTCAAGTGGATCTGATAAACCCTTATGTTTCTGCAAACATTATGAAGCAAAATCAAAAAGGGTATCACAAAAAGGCTAAAGCTATTTAATAAAATCAATAAAGAGATAATCCATACTTGTAATCTACTATGGACAGTCAACATGAAATCATGGAAATGTATCCTCTGCTTCTTCCAAGTGTCAGGCCTAATGACACAAGAAGAGATCATGAGCCTCAAGAAAGGTAAAAGAATGTGATCATACAAAAACTTACAATTGATCAAAGAATAAGTCCATCAACATTGTTTTTCCTGTGCCTACACCTCCATAGAGATACAATCCTTTGACAGGTGAGACAGATGACTCTGGCATGAACCTAGACCAGAACCAACGGCTTCTGCTTCACAGACAAAGACATGTTTGCATGAGACTTAAGTTCTCAAACCTAACAAAGCATAAGACTCAAGAACAGAAGAAGAGTCACCTTGATGATTTATCAGAAGTGTTGTAACGATCTAGACGACATGTATCTACTGATTCCACAAGCTGATCATGTAGTCTCTGAAGCTCTTTCAATGCACCTAGCTGTAGCATTTCAACAAAACATTCAGCCGCAAGTAACATGAAATTTAATCTTATTCCTCAAGCTTCAATGTAGTAAAAAAGACAATGTTCTAAAAATCGGTCTAAACATCGCGTTATCTCTTATTTTAAAATCAGTCTAAGCGTTCAAAAAAATCGGTCTAGACACCCGCCTAATCAATAGTCATATATAAAATGTCTAACTAACGCCTAACGATATCTTGGAATAGTAATTTTGTTTTTGTTTTGCTTACTTGGCAGATATCACCAGTCATGAGCTCGCCATTACTGATTCGTCTCTCATACTCAACAAGCGGTCCTGTTCTCTTCACATCTGCTGTTTACATTATTACAAGATCATTCATCATACTTAGCTTAAAAAAAAAAACCTCAGAGATTATTGGAGTTTGGACACAAAGAAACAAACCTGAGGATGAGACAGTGAGTCTAACAGAGTCAGCTGCTTCTATTGCCTCTGCTGATAAACCTCTAGAGAAACTTAACCTCGAATACAGAGTTGAGTTATAAGTGTTTGTGTTCACAAATGCTTCGTTTTGATTGACACCAACCAAAAGTTTAGGGCTCTTTGAGGAGAAAGTTGAGGAATAACGTTGTTGATTCCTTAAAGCCCATCTAACTCTACTGAGAGACAATGATGATCTAAAGACTGGTCTCATTCTACAGATCAATGCAAAATTGAATTATGCCTGCAGAAACCAAAAAGATTAACAATGAAACTAAAATAAAAATGTTTTAAATGAAAGAAGAAAAGCTTATTTTTCTCACATAAGCTATTATTTATATAACACTAGATAAGCCTCATTACATGTAACGTAACGCTCAATAACAACAACAAATAGCTTGTTACAGAAACAGAGCAATAATTGATGAAAGGACTCACCTTGAACTAAGAAACAGAGCAATAAATCTTGCTTCACGGAAAAAAAGGGAAAACCTTTTGGATTCAGTTACAGAGGCAAAATAAAACCCAGGAATAAAAACGAAAAATTTGAATTAAAATTATCAAGAATCTGATCCGTATGAGAGAATAGGGTTCAAGACGAAAACGTGAAAGGTGAAAAGGTTTTTAAGAATTTTATTATGTAATGGGAATGATATATATATCTGGATAAGTTACAGAGGGAGGGCCAAGAAAAAGGGAGATATTATCAAAGAAGCAAAACAGCGAAGAAGAAGAAGATTAACAGTTAAGACTTGTGAGATAGAGACGTGATCAAAATAGGATTATACCTTCTTTTATCGTCTGAGACACGTGTGTATCTCTCTATTTTATATTTTTATATATTGATTAACTGGTATAAGTAGCATTACATCCGCTAATTATTAATTTGTTAAAGGTAAACTTATATGCACAGTTGTTTTCCGGATCAAAGAATATAAAAAATTATGAAGTTATTTACTTATTTAGAAGAGTTGACATTGAAATTGTGAAGTAAATGTTCTTGATATATCTTTTTCCATTTTAATAACTTACTTAACTTACCCTACCTTTGATGTATACAAGTCAAATGAGATTTTTTTCTAATAATAAAAATTAGATAATTAAACAGGAAAAAACAATACTAATTCAAAAAAATGAAGCTTCTCGATGTTGCGTTTGCGTCTCCCATACTGGTGGGCCTAAGCTAGTGGCAAATGCCCATTCAAGGGCTAAGTATCTTCCACGTGGAATATACCGACGTGAATCCTTCTTTTGGTCCCTTATTTGATTCAAACAAAATTTCAACGCCTATCCGAAAAGAGTTTGGTCCCGTCAATAAATTCTCCTAAATTGTATTTTAAGACTATTATAGGAGTTTAATAATCTAAATCCTTAGAAAAAATAAATAATATAAAATGTTTTCTTTTTTTTTAAATCTCGAGTGGTAGATGAATCATAGTCATGGTCCATGGAGTGTGACTGGTTGCATTACGCATGCTCCCATGTGTACACGTCAGCTCTTACATGTTTGTAGCGTTCGGAATTCCATAGGTTTCGATTCGAATTTTTGGTATTACGTTCGCAAATCACTTTTGGATTTTACTAATTATTAGATCAGATTGGATTTGATTTTTTCTGGATTCGGATCAGATAATAATCAGTATATAAAATCAACCAAAAATATTTTTAATAAACTGAAAAATTAGTTAAAAAAAACTCAAAATATTTAAATTATTCACCAAACTAATTTAAAATAAGTTGAATTATTTTTTATTCAAAATAAAAAATAAAATAAATTTTAAAAATCTTTAAAAAAAACTCTAAAATATCTAAATCATCTTAATATATATAAAAATATTAACATGTGTCACTAATTTTGGATATACTCGGATCCAAGCTAGAAATTTGGTTCGGTACAGGATATACCTATAGTCCAAAGTACGATTTTTTTTCCATTCGAATATTTTTATATAACGGTTTAGATTCAGTTTCAGATTTTCTGGTTCAGTTTAAGATAGGGAAATTCGGTTTGGGAACATGTCTCTTTCTAACCTAACCCCAAATACTTCTTTTCTAGATCAAAATGGGCTTCAATATAATATTGGGCCTTGGCCCATTCCATTAAATAACTCATCGGAGCTAACAAACTTATCATCTTCTTCGATTCGCTTCAGCCTCGCCGGCGATTTTCACATTTGACTTTGTTTGTTAATGGCGAATCAAGGAGCAAAGAAGCGGAAGGATGAAAACACTCGCCACATGGCCAAGCTCCGTCGTATCATCATCGCTTGCAACGTAAACTTCCCTTCTTTAACCATAAATCTATAAACTTTCGATTGATTCGATTTTTCACCACTTTAAAGTTTCAATCTTTATGTCAAAGATCGGATTTTTTTTATGTGGGTTTTGGTTTTATCACAGGTTGTGTATGTGATAGTGAGGATGGTGTTTTTCTACTCGAGCTTTACGTGGAAGCATTGGATTGGTCTCGTGGTGACGTCACTAGGTTATGGGATTCCTTATAAGTTTCTAGATGGGATGGCTAAGCCTAGTGTTGGGGATGATGGTGAGCTTATTGATGGTGGGTTTGATATGAGCACTGGTGGTATTTGTGGGTACGTTTTTGTTTTCTTCTAAAGAAACAGAAAGTGTCTGCCTTTTTGTTTTTTTGGTTGTGTCAGTGTTTATGTGTATGATTAGGTTTGTCTATAGATGATTGTGTGTTGTTTAGTTTGTAGGAATAGTGTAAAGAGGATTGTTTTGGAAATGTGATGTTTGAGATACTATTTATGGTGGATAGGATTTGATGATAGAGTGTTCTATATTATTACAAGGCTAATTAATGATCTTTGGTTCTTGCAGATACTGAGAGTGTCTGCCTTTTTGTCTCAGTGTTTATGTGTATGCTTAGGTTTGTCCATAGAGGATTGTGTATTGTTTAGTCAGGAGGAGTAGTGTAAAAGAGGATTGTTTGAAATGTGATGTTTGAGACACTATTTATGGTGGATAGGATTTGATGATAGAGTGTTCTATATTATTACAAGGCTAATTAATGATATTTGGTTCTTGTAGATACTGAGAATGTCTGCCTTTTAGTCTCAGTGTTTATGTGTATGCTTAGGTTTGTCCATAGAGGATTGTTTGTGTATTGTTTAGTCAGGAGGAGTAGTGTAAAAGAGGATTGTTTGAAATGTGATGTTTGAGACACTAATTATGGTGGATAGGATTTGATGATAGAGTGTTCTATATTATTACAAGGCTAATTAGTGATCTTTGGTTCTTGCAGATACTGAA